GGTTTTGCCAACTTCGTGAATTTTGGTATTTTTCGAGTCTTTTCGATTGGGTTATGTTTCTTTAGCCTATTGTAATGTATTCGTTGTGGTTTTAATCAGATTCGGCGTGCGAAGAGGTTGATTCGAAAGGCAAAGGCATAGCGATCTAGACTTGTGGCCGGCTTGAGGTGAGTAATAGATGTAGATGATGACCTGAGGGTTTGAAACCCCGGTATATCACATTGTGACGCTATATTGAGGCAAGACACGTACTCTATGACGAGTGCGGGGTCGATTGTGACTGAGAATTGTGACCTAGTCCATTCCGAATTATGTTCGTACTGCGTTCTTGACTAGAAATTATTTGGTAATTATCCTACTTGGAGTTTATGAATTGTTTGGGGCTTTGTGCCTATCATGTGCATCCTTCAGGGATCCTTATCACTGCTTTCATGATGCTTAGCATATTTCATGATATCAGTCCTCGGTTAGACACTGCCTCGAAATGGTTAGTAAATAAATAAAGGTTTAAACACTTAGCTCTAAAATTCCTAATAATTGAAACTAAAATGAATAATTTGACTGTGCCCGATTGGCTTGCATGCATATATATACCTGGACTGAGTGTGGATCGGGATGCACGCCGCAGCGAATGTTACGATGATATTGCGCTTGGGCTGTAGGAGCCCCTCCGGAGTCTGAACCCCCACAGTGAGCGCGGGTACCCAAATGGATCGGGCTGCTCGCCGCAGCGGTCATGTGCATTGCATTGCATTCATGCATTTATACCTATTTGTCTTATTTGTCCTGGTATTGTTGTTGTTCCACCGTTTTATGTGCTGAATCGCTGATTATAGCTTTATATTGTAATATTTCGGGATTTCTTACTTTCAGCCATTATATATGTTTATTACTCACTGAGTTGGAAGTACTCAGTTTACTCCCTGCACCATGTGTGCAGATTCAGGTGCTCCGGAGACTTAGTGGAGTTGTTTGCCGTTTTCGTGAAGTTTATTTTCAGGAGTTGTTGAGGTAGCTGCCTGACGTCCGCAGGACCCGACTCTCCTCCTAGACTTCTTTATTACTATGGATATATTACTCTGTTACATCTAGAGGCTCTAGACTCGTGACTCCAGATCTATTGGGGAATGTTTGGATATTCGTTATTATATTCCGTACTATTTTATTTAGATTCGGATTGGAACTTTGATATTTGCTATTTTAATCGTATTATTTGTTAACGGATTGCGTATTTGGGTTGAGAGTATTTAATTTAGTCGGGCTTGCCTAGCATTAGTGTTGGGCGCCATCACGACCGGGATTGGGGTCGTGACAAGTTGGTATCAGAGCCTAGGTTACTAGGCCTCGCGACTCATAAGACGGTTTAGTAGAGTCTCGCAGAACGGTATGGGGACGCCTGTACTTCTCCTCCAGAGGCTGCAGAACCTTTAGGAAAACTCCATATTCTTGAAATTCTTGTCGTGCGGCTTTGTGATTCGAGAACTAAATTCATGTATTCTATTCTCTCGCAGATGGCGAGAACTCGTGCTACCGGACGCGATGGTCGACCACCAGTACCACCCACTAGAGGCCGTGGACGCGGTCGTGGTCGTGGTCGAGGTAGGGCAGCAGAGACAGCACCTGCTGACCCACCAGCTGCCACAGTTCAGGACCAGACTCCAGTTGTCGATGTCCCAGCAGCACCTGTGCAGGCACCAGCAGTCCCTATTGCTATTCCTGGTCTCCAGGAGACCTTGGCACAGATACTACCAGTTCGCACTGGCCTGGCTCAGTCTCAGCTTCTACTGCAGCAGCTGCTTCCCAGACCGGGGGAGGACATCAGACCCCTGTTGCTCACACACCTGAGCAGGTTGCCCAGGGATTTCAGACACTAGAAGCAGCCATAGCTCCTCCAGTTGCTCCAGTTGCTTCAGTTGCTCCAGTTGCTCCAGTTGCACCAGTTGCACCAGCTCTAGCCTATGAGGTTCCCGCTATGCCGGACGATGAGC